GGCGGCGGTGTGTAAATAATCGAGTCTGGACCAGACAATCCAGTGATTAATATCATGAGCATCGATCCACACAATTGAGAAACAGGAAAGTGAACAAAAATATCAACATGGTTCGATGCACTGAGGCGAGGTCTACCTTCATGTGCGGATTTATATATGACTTCACATAAGTTTGTAAAGAGGTGCATTTTGAGTCAACGGGAGCACAAGGATACAAATTTTAAAAAATATACTTACTGCTGTTTAAAATGAAGTTTATGGGACAGTTATTGAAAACACCCCGAGGCATGAACTCTCCCATGGCACAAGCTCAGCAAATTGGTAATATGTCTGATTTGTGAATATGTTCCTTGTGTTTGGATAATCGCAAACCAATTTGGACGATGTAGAATTGTTGGTTGGTTGGTGTGTTGTTTAACGCCGCACTCAGCAATATTCCAGCTATATGACGGCGGTCTGTAAATAATCGAGTCTGGAGGAGACAATCCAATGATTAATATCATGAGCATCGATCCACGCAATTGGGATCCATGACATGCATCAACAAAGTCAACGAGCCTGACCACCCGATCCCGTTAGTCGCCTTTTACGACAAGCATAGTCATCTTTTACGGCAAGCATGGGTTGCTGAAGACCTATTCTACCCCGGGTCCGATGTGGAATGGACTGGGATTGCCCCGATGGTTTTAACGCCGCTTTTGGCAGTTGGTTGGTTTGGTGTGTTGTTTAACGCCGCACTCAGCAATATTCCAGCTATATGGCGGCGGTCTGTAAATAATCGAGTCTGGAGGAGACAATCCAATGATTAATATCATGAGCATCGATCCACGCAATTGGGATCCATGACATGCATCAACAAAGTCAACGAGCCTGACCACCCGATCCCGTTAGTCGCCTTTTACGACAAGCATAGTCATCTTTTACGGCAAGCATGGGTTGCTGAAGACCTATTCTACCCCGGGTCCGATGTGGAATGGACTGGGATTGCCCCGATGTCTTTATTTCCATCCCGACAACCCTCAGGTCTGCATCCAGGCACAAAGACCGAACCGAGTCCCTTATCCGACTTATTAACCGAAAAGTTTACAAGGATTTGTAATGTTTTATGAAATTTTGTTTCTCTTCTCTACCTTTCTAACCCTTCACTCATCGTGATCGTACCCCGCGGTAGTGCGCCAATCAGAGCTAACCATTTCGTCACGTGCTTGCCCGTGCCTCGAAATGCACGCGCTTTGAATGCTGACTGAGTGGCACATGGTCACTGTTGTTTGCAGTGTGCGGTTGCCTCTCAGACTCGTGACAATGGACTCGGATGATGACATTTTTCTTGTGCAAAGTAAGTTTTCACATGATCTGGACGCGAAAGACAATAATTTTCGTTTTCTACCACCAATTAGCTTTGAGGAGCTGCAAGGCGAGTTGAAAGACTCTGTACCCCTTAATATTAAGTACAGGAATGAGTCGGCCGCATCACTGATTAGCATGCTAGATGGCAGGGAGAACGATTGCAACGTCCATTGTTGAAAATGTGGATCTTCCAAAACAGTGTTTAACAAGTGCGCTGCTTGACATGTCAGATTTTTACCTAAACCAGGCGCTCCAAAGGTTAGTTTTCCACATCTTCTTTGCGAATTTAAAAAAACAATCAGTCCCTGAGTGTTTATGCAGCTTTTTGTGGGATTCAGGGTTTCTTGAGAATGAATGCGCGACAAGTCGATTTGTTTACGAGTGAGGCTTTTTCTCAGGCCACAGCCGCGCTAGACGCAGTGATGAAAAAGTTATCCGCCGCCGGCTCCCCTAAAACGAGCTATAATAGATGATACTAGCTATAATAGATGAAATGAGCTACGATACCATAGTTATTCGGTCTATTGCAAGGGTGAATCGCTCAAAACAAGGGAGGGGGCACGGGTGGCCCAGTCTAAGGCGCCGCGATTCGCTGTGCAGAGTTGCGTCCCTTGAGCACGCCAGAGACCTATGATTGTGGGTTCGAATCCCGGTTCGCCCCGATTATGTTTCTAGGTTTGTCAGCACCATACCCGTGCTCCTGGGTTTCACTGAAGTGGTAAACGTCAGACCTGCATCGCTTCGGGCTTTCCTCCCACATTAAGCTGAAACGCCGCGATATAACTGGAATACTGTTAAAGCGGCGTTAAACCGAACTCACTCACTCACCAAAACAAGGGAGCGTGCCTTTAATGCGTACTTCCGCAAAGCGGTTGTCAGGCATGAGTTCGACTGACAAATGCAAATTCATATTATGCATAGACGAAAGCCCACGCACCAACATAATAGCGACTGCCGAGGTGTAATAAACGTCAAAATACACAAGCAATTCACTAAATACAAAAATAAACCCACAAAACGCTGAAATTTACCTTCCAAACTTACACGAAGCACACATGGGTAGCCGACATCTGCAATGGTATACTGCGCATGACTGGATGTCGGGTGGGATATCGTATTTTCCGCAAAACAAATAAATAGTCGACAACAACAAAATTCTATAGTGATGTGTACGAGACAAAATCATAAAGTCGTTTGCGTCCACAAAATATCAGGAAATGCAAAAAAATCAAAGTTGCAGTCAAACAAAGCCTAAGGGACAGGCATCTCTGAACGCCAACCCAGAACTTTTTATGTCAACCATGTTATGAATATGCCAAAGAACATGTTGCGCCTACATGTGAGAAGGTAAATGCGAAAGATGTGGCACAGAACATTGTGGATGGTCGATATGACACCGATGAATTGACTCTCATTGCCAATGCACTTGGACAATCCCAAAACCAAAGTTTATTGGAAGATGCAGAGGCTATTGGTCAACAGCATAGGGATATGACTAAATTACAATCCTTTGACAGCAAAGACTGGTTAGAACCGAGAAATACTGTCACAGTTGCCTTTTTGAAGGGTGCCACAGGTATAACGGATGCATCAGGGAAACAAAAAATGGGCAGGCTAGTGCGATGCTATGTGGCCCCACTAATGTTTGTGCTCAATCTCATGTTATATCTCATGACAGGTAGTAAGGGTGGATGCAGTGTAAATGCAGCCTCAAGCCCTTGTGGCTCGAACAGAACCATTAAAAAATGGCTTAACACTATTTGCAATGAGCCCATTAAATGTCCAGTATCTGGGGATATGGTTACTTTTTTTGACAATAACCAGGTCCTTGCAAAAGGAATTGGCGCGCCCGGTATGACTGCAAGGCCCTTATCAGTGTTATCACCACCAACTTGCATATGGAGCCCCAACTAAATACAACTCTATAAAATGACCCCCAGTACTGCCCTTACAAGTGGTTAGTGTACACACCAGCTGCTATTGCAGAAACCAAATCCGCCATGACAGCTGCAAGGGATGTTTGTGGGGTGTTCAGGGAACACGGGATGCGCTTCCTTTATGCACAAATTAAATTTCTCTCTGAACAAGAGCTTGGTAGCGTTATAAGAGATGTCATTGATGCCCCGCCTACAGAAAATAAGAGTGACGTAAGACAGGAAGAATATGAAGTACAAAATGTTGATGAGGTACAGTTCACTAAAAAAAACACATGTTCGGGAAAATATGAAATTAGTGAAGCAATGTGCATGCTTAAACCAAACTTAATCATTGGAAATCCTGTTCATGTAAATCTGTTCCTACGATTCATGCGACCCGTGAAGATTCCGGGGTAGAGTAGGTCTTCAGCAACCAATGCTTGCCGTAAAAGGTGACTATGCTTGTCGTAAAAGGCGACTAACGGGATCGGGTGGTCAGGCTCGCTGACTTGGTTGATGCATGTCATCGATCCCAATTGCGTTGATCGATGCTTATGATATTAATCACTGGATTGTCTGGTCCAGACTCGATTATTTACAGACCGCCGTCATATATATTGCTGAGAGCGGCGTTAAACAACAAACCAACCAACCTTCGATTCATGCAAACGGTTCTTACAGCACATTATGGTGGAAACCAATGTAGGGGGTGGTAGACAGTGGACAGTGGTTGGGTGTGATGGACTCCCCTTTAACCTGGCATCTCGACAAATTACCTCAGCCTATCAACGCGCCATGTCAGGAGTGTTACAATGGGTCAGATGACTTTCGACAACACATGGTGACGTCACATAACATGCATGATTGTGACATCAGTGGACTTTTGGCTTTTGGTCGCCTGTTACCTGTCCGCGGTCCCGGCCATAAGGAAATCAACATGGTTCGTGGCAGATTTACGTTGTTGTGGCCCATAGTCATTTAAGGTTTGGTAGGTTTGCTAGGCTATAGATCACCCAAGGTAATTGTCTGCATGTGAGAACGCCTCCGATCACCACAAGGCGTGGCAGACACTTGAGATCTTGCTCATGGGAACAACCAGGGAACTGTTGTTACCATATGTCAGAGATGCCATCCGGAAAAAAAACAAATTCCAACAGCAGACGGATATGCCAAATGGATGCTCACTGTCAAGAATGACAATTACACTTTCATGGCCGATTCCATTCTGACAAATGTACTGTCCGTATATCTATTCCGAGCTGTAATATGAGGCGTGGGAACCAAGACCTTGCTCGGGAGAGTGAAACCCGTGCCAGTGATCTGTACTACGGCCTCGACATGACTCAATATCAAGAACTGACGTTGAGGTACTTAAAAACTACACTTTCATTCTAAATAATTATACAATCTCATGCCATTTAACGATATCATATTGCAATTAACGCTTCATTTGAATTATCTCCCTTTGCAATTATTGTGTTAAACGAAAGTATGATACATTCTGTCCTCACAGGGAGTTCCATACCCGTCGACTCGCCTCAACAGATGTGCGTGCGTTCCTTGACCGCACTACATCGATGTCTGTCTCTGGCCATCCTAGCAAGGGTGAAGGGGGTGATTTTATTTTAGAAAGCAGCAACCGTCGCATAAAAAGATGGATGCCCCCTGGCCTACCAACACCCACCAGATGGGATAGGAAATTTCACAACATTGACAGGCTTGAGAATGTAAGTAAATATGAGACATTTACTAAACGTGTAATCGCCCGTGTCTGTCCCCATCACCCCTACCCCAAAGCCACAATGAATTTAACAACAAACAAGTACATTGTATAAAATATTTTTATGGAATATGCCGAGGACAATAGAAGGGAATTGATTTTATTTTTTTTAGGTCCTTGTCCTTCACATAATGGCCAGTATATCTGTAATGTACCCAGTATATGCACTGGCCAACATCACAGCCGACCCAGGGACCCTTCTCATCGTCCCCCGGCCCATCCCTCTCGATCCAACAGGGAACAGCGATTTTCGTCTGGTTTTCTAAAGTGGGACAGGTCAGTCTGCTGTTCCCTGTGATGGGTAGTTTCTCCAGGAGAAGGGAAGCTCACCCCCGATGTCTTGGGAGAGTTGCACGTAGTGTTTTTTTCTGCCTATAAAAAGAAACAAATTAATTCACAGTATTCAGTTATGAATATATATGTAAGTACGGTTCAAACGGAATAAATTTCATGTAAATATGTCTAAATATGTTATTTGTATTAATATTTTCCGTATGTACTCACCTTGTATTTATTGAGCATTGCTGGCGTGCCCCAGTGAAATGTTGATGGGTGGGAGTTGTAACCTCTGCATATACCTCAGCTCCAGTTAAACTGGCTAATTCCATACCCTGTTGACAATATATAAAAAAACTATGGAACAGATGAAACAACAGATGATGCATGTTTTGGACATCCAGCTGCCAGACGACACCGAATACATGCACGTAACAGACCTGTCCACTGAGGTTGACATGTGGAGGAGACACCATTGGCAGAATGGCTACCTGTCCCGTCCCCAGGAGCAAGGTGTCCACGTCACATTGTCAGGAACCCCTGTGGACAAGGATCTGGTACATTTGGCATCTAAATGCAAGAAGAACCGGACGGATTATTGCCAGGATGTTGTCATTTCCAAGGATGTTGGTCGTATCCATCGTCTGGAACCAGTCTTCATATTTACCGCAGACCGTGATAAATATTTTGACATCAGCCGCCGGAGAAATGAGGACATTAAAGCAGTTATCCTTGGGGACATTGAGGTGATCCGTGACATGGGTGCCGAGGATGTGGCGGATGCCCTGTCCTTAACCTACAACAGGGACATCAAGGACAGTAGGAAAAGCCTCTTATTGACATTCCTGCGTGATGTTGCAGAGGTACTGCAAAACCTGACAGATGTGTTCGATACCAATGGTATGTTTATACTTATTTCTTCACAATTCATTTGTTTTACTTTCACATTTTATTAACACATTGTATTGTCATCAACAATTATCTTTTTGAAAAAAAAATTTCCGCATGTAAAGCGCACTTGATATTTTTTTGCTGTCATCCAGATAGTATTTCCTCTTTTCCCACGTTGGTGAATTTTTGTTCTGGCGCGTTGTCCTTTTTCATTTTTTCCGGTATTCAAGGGTTTGCTTTCCTTTGGCTCAAACAATGCTGTCTCCTGTTGGGAACATTTATTTGTTAGGACATTGTAAAGTAATCAGTAGTTTATAAGGTACATTTCTACGTTGCAGGAACCTCTGGCGGCCCTCTGCAGTGATGGCGTTGCTTTCAGACGTCAGAATAGAGAATGATGTTCATTTTAATCAGGTAATATATTTTAAACCTCACGTATTCGCCTTACAATGTTGCTTATGTCACAAATATTATATTGTATTTTATTTTCTGATTATCACTTTTTCAGATCAAATTTTTTACCTTGCTTGTTTGTTATTGTGGAATTGCTGCTTCTTCACAGGATTCCGTGTCAGACATTTCATGTGATGAGAATGTTATCTGATATTTTGAGCCTTAATATACCCCGCTGTGAGACTTGTGTATTTTTTTCGACCAATGACATTACTCCATGGGGCAATTATTGCAATCCACGGAAAGGCAATAAATATTATGTTCCTAACTACTTTCTTATTTTGTCCCGTACACATCACCATAGAATTTGTTGTTGTCGACTATTATTGATTTGTTTTGCGGAAAATATGATATCTCACCCGACATCCGGTCATGCGCAGTAACCCATTGCAGATGTCGGCTACCCATGTGTGCTTCATGTAAGTTTGGAAGGTAAATTTCAGCGTTTTGTGCGTTTATTTTTGTATTTAGTGAATTGCTTGTGTATTTTGACATTTATTACACCTCGACAGTCGCTATTATGAAGGTGCTTTCGTCTATGCGTAATATGAATTTTCATTTGTCGAACTCGTGCCTGACAACAGCTTTGCGGAAGTACGCATTAAAGGCACACTCCCTTGTGTTGATCGATTCATCCTTGCAATAGACCGAATGATCTATGGTATTGTAGCTCATTTCATCTATTATAGCTCGTTTTAGGGGTAACCCGGACCTGGTCAATGTTCATTACGAAAACTTCTTTCATTCATCGATTCATATTACATTACCCCGTTTGTTGCGCAGGTTATTGTGAACCCGAGTACCCCTCCGCCATTTGGACACATTTTGTGCTATAAATAAGTAAAAAAGACAACATTGAAAGTCAAAAAATTACCTGAAATGTACTTTGTCAACCCCTCTCTCCGTCCACCATGCTTCCTACTCTGCCACGCCACCTGCAGTCCCGGCAAGGGAGGCAACACCCAAATCGTGAGTTAACGCCAACTAAAACTATGGTAGACAATACATGCCACGCTGAAACCGTGCTTGGTCGCAGAAATAAATGAAGCGCTCGTAAGTTGGAGCTATGCTTTTACGGCGCTTACCTTGGATTTACATTTTGGAGTAATATTTTCAAATGTCCTTCTGGTTGCCAACATTAAGCCATAAAAGAAAACAAGTGTAAAATATACAAACATTTAATACTATTTATTGTAATGTTACAGGTATATATCTTAAAAGTACAACATGGGCAGAAAATGCAGTTGCAGCGAACACGAAATCTTTTCTAAAAATCGAGAGTTCCAAGTGTATCTTATTAAATCAAGAACATTCCCCCAAAAAGTAGAAGAAAAACTAAAAGAACTAAAGTACCTTCAACCCAGATCAACCCACCTGTGCACTGCCTGTGCGAAGTATATATACAAATGAAATATTAATCTCCATTCCTGAAAACGTACAAAATGTGTTGGATGATTTGTCAATTTGTCTGAGTATGAACTCACTTCTTTGTCACGTGGCCTTGGCAGCTACATCAATTCCCAATTAGAAGATGACATAAAAGAGGTTGGAGACCAATATAAATCTTCAAAAAAGTTTGAGAATTTAAACATTCAGGACTGGTTGAAAAGTAGAAATGTTCTCGTTGGCATTCTTAGGTGCATTAGTTTGTCACACAGTTGAGGATACCGACAGTTTTCAATCTTAAAAAAAACCTCATGTTAGCAAGATGTGTGGAATTTCTATATTTTGCTGGCCTTCCCACAATCATCACGCCCATATCATTTGCAATTTCCGTACCCTGTGGTTCCTATCCATCACTTACATCCTGGTTGAAGGTTGGCACGGAAACAGCTCTCATAGCCCCTAAAAAAGGCTCTTTAACAGTTTTCTTTGATAATAACCAAGTGATTGGTAGATCCTGGCATGTATCAAAAAATCATACACCAAAATGCAGTGTCATGACAAACATTATGTACATAAATGACCCCAGCAGTGACATCCAATGTTGTCCCCAATTATCACCAATCGCTTGGTTACAAGTATGTAATTTGGGCGATGATATGGCACAGGCTTTGGATGTAGCTAGTAACACGTTTCATCATGAATTGTCTTCATTAGTGGATACATTCTTGGAAAGCAGGTTGGAAATAGTTCTAAACAGCTTGACATGTAGAAATGGTTTGTTCGGTGACAATATTGATGAATGTACACATTCATCTTCCCGTGGTTCCTTTAAGAAATGGGATAATCCTTATGATATTTTAACATCTGGCCATTCAATTATTCAACCTGAAATTAGTCTGGGTGATCCAGTTATGGTCAATCCTGCATCATATTATAGTCTTCAAATTGTTCTGGATAAGATATGTTCAGACAGTGACTTCGGTAACACAGTGGCTAGTTCTCGGATGCGATGGTTCTCCCTACAATGTATTAAGCAGGATGCTTACTAAATGGTACAAATGTCCAGTTTGTCAGCCTATTGTCAAAAAGGACTTGCAGGGTTTGAGTAAGCACTATGGTATTAAGCACCCCAATGATGATGTTGTTGTAGATGCCAGTCACCAACTTTATAAGCATATATTGGTTTACCTGGAGCAGGACACATTGAGCTCGAGAGAAATGGTGTGAGGTCAATTTTTCAAATTTCTATGGTGGCCATATCTACAACATGTTGCAAAGTTGCTTGGCTTCTCTTCACCAGCTGCTGTCAATATGGCTAAGTCAGCCACCAACCACCACAAGTCTTGGGAAATGCTCCGTATTTTTCTATATGGTTCCACTGACGAACTTTTGTATAGTGTCTTACTGTCAAAGGCACCTGGGCATCATTTGTACACTATCTCTGCATTTCATGCTTAGCTGAAGCAACATAAATATCCCAATGTCAAATTCCTGTCCGGCATTTTGTTGGAACTCATCATTCCATTATTCATATATCGTTCTGCTGTTAGGAGAAACAACAGCCAAGCAATGACTCACAGCCGGGATTCATGTTCAAGGCTTTTTTGTGCAATGAATAACACCTCCTATCAAGAACTCATTCTATGAGATGAAATGAGACTACAAGCCCCACCAGAAATTGTTAATTATCTTAATGCTTGTGAGGTAATTTCTCCAACCGGTCATCACAGTAAAGGTGAAGGTGGTGACTTTGTATTAGAGAATAACAACAGAAAAGGGAACATGTGGATGCCTCCAGGTGTACCCACAGGTGATGCATGGCTGAGGAGCTGCATAAATCTTCTCAAATTGGAACAGGTAAGATATGGTCAAGCAAGTGTCTCAAGTACTAATGACGAAGGATTATGGGTAATTTGAAGTGGTATAAAAAGTACATGTATTATGCAAGATAAGATTTTTATTTTTATTCATAGTAATACTTATAAAGAAAGATTTTTTGCTAGGAAAAAAATAAAAAAATCATAATATATTTCTTTTTTATTTAGACCTTTCCATTTTGTTGTGCTCTGGGCACAGATATGTGATGTTTTTTTAAATCTCCAACTTTCCTTACTTAAATGCTGATGCATTCACAATGCACCCTATAATTGCACAGGGATTTTTTTATAGTCACACCCAATCCACTTTGCGTTATTGTCCTCAGGGCACCCATACACTATCTCACAAATGGGACAAATAGTTTGGTTTCGACTGTTGGGTTTTTGTTTACATCTCTGGCTTGATCTTTGATGTAAGGTCGTGTCCCTTGTGGTTTGACGCGTTGGTATTCTTGGTTGTGAGTTAGTGACAGAAGTAGATGGTATTGGGTTTGAAGTAGAAGATAAAGTTCGGGAATTCGGAAGTGGGTGAGAAGAAGTTTGTGTAGCAGCATGAGAGGGTGTTGAAATCGGTGAAACCAGAGTTTGTGAAAGATGGGTGGGTTTGGTTAAATTAATGGTTTCATTGTTAATGGGAAATCTTTGGTTAAGCTGGAAAAAAATGAAAACATTACTAAATTCATATTTGCGGTTCATTAAACCTACACATTATATATTTTCAATTATCAAAAGTTGATACAATTTATAGTATAGGACAACATATTAAATACCTTTTGGACCCATTGATTCCCAGGTGTGGCCACCTGATGGGGATCACTTGCATCCGATCCTTTGACTTCAGCCCTAGTTGTTTTATGTAAATCAACCACCTAAAAACATACACTAAAATCAATAATTTTGTATAACAGATGAAAAACAACATACTGGTGGCAGTTGGTGCTGAGTTATCAGTACCATTTCAAACTGTCACTGACAATTCCCTGTCACCGGAGATAGCAGGGTGTAGAGATAGTGGCTTCGACAAAGCAACCACTTACAGGCAAGCCCTTACACACCCCAACTAACAGGCCTGGACGAAAACCACCTGTTAGATCCAGATGTACACCAGTGGCTCGACATTGCAACAAACAGGAGAAAATATAGGTATTTATATATACGCCATGATATATATATTTATATATTTTTTTTTCTCACTCACTCTCTCAGTAGCTCACTCTCACTCTCACTCTCACGCGCACACACACAATACTTTTTTGCGTTTATCAGGAAAATAGTGACATTTATTTCCCAAATTATTTTAGTGAAATAATGATAAAGGAAAACCTGCTAGAAAAGGGTGGAAGACCCAGACTCAACAAACTGATCCTTACGCCAGAAGAACGCAAAGAGTCAGAAAAAACCAGCAAAATGACTATTGCACTTTTGGTGGAAATCATCCAGAAGAAAATTAAAGGCATTCCGGTTTGTTTTAAGGGTTACACAGACGTATTAAAATGTGGCAATATTCAGTAAAGAATTTTGTTCTCAATTTAATTTTTCTAGTTATCATAATGTACTATGATATATGCGTTTGGAAACCCATTAAATCAAATCATAACATAGAACATTCATTGACAGAACTGATGCCATCCAATACCGATGGAAAAGAACTACAAGCAACAGAAATGTGTTGATGAAGTTCCTTATGGAAATTGACTCTTATATTGAGGAGGAGGAGGAGGGGGATGAGGATGAAGATGAGGAGCAAGACCTAGAAGGTCAGTAATAATTATTTACACCCTTCGTTAACGTCTGTAATCTTTTGTGGAAGCTTTTGGACCTTTTAACAGGATCCGAAAAAAGGTTCCCCCCGCGAGTCCCTGTGTTTTGGGATTTAGCAACATTGCATTTCTTCTTTTTCGTCGAGGGGGAGGACTTCTTCCATTGATTCCTCTTTGTTGATTTTGTTACTTTAACATCCTGATACAAATGTAACCAACATAACTATAGTCTATACTTCTTTTTATAAATAACAACGAAATTTATTTACATTATACATACATCTATATTCAACACTTAAATGTCCGGAAAAAAAACATTAGGATATAGCGCAAAGACAATGAATTGCCTACACTTATGACCACCTTCAGCAATGCAGCGCGAAGTATTTCAAATATTGTCCGCTTTGGTTTTCCATAGACTTACTGACGCCAAGGCCCGATTTGGGCGTTACCTCCCTTGCCGGGACTGCAGGTGGCGTGGCAGAGTAGGAAGCATGTCGGACGGAGAGAGGGGTTGACAAAGTACAGTTCAGGTAATTGTTTACTTTCAATGTTGTCTTTTTGACTGATTTATAGCACAGCATGTGTCCAAATGGCGGAGGGGTACTCGGGTTCACAATAACCTGCGCAACAAACGGGGTAATGTAATAAGAATCGATGAATGAAAGAAGTTTTCGTAATGAACATTGACAGGTATTTTATACTCACGATCATGGGCTAAGTAGTACAGACAACGCACAGACAACAATCGCATGTTTTTATAGCCACACAGGACCAGTTTATTCTATCAGTTAGGGGTATTGACACCAGTTGGGTTCATTGTCACCAGTTGGGGTTTTTCCCCGACCTGATCAATGGATTGTCTGGTCCAGACTCGATTATTTACAGACCGCCGTCATATAGCTGGAATATTGCTGAGTGCGGCGTTAAACAACAAACCAACCAATCTGAGTTGGAGAAATATACTTATTTAGAATACAAATTGATAAGTGTGATGTTATTAATTTAACTGTTGCCGAAAATATTTCATGCTGCAGTTGTAATGATTTTTGCAGGTCACCGCAGTTGAGCTGTGCGTCTGTACAAGAGGCTGCCGTTTCTGATATTATTTGCGGGAGTTCAAATGAAGAACCATTGGCCAAGGCGGGGAAAGCAGAGACCGGTACGAACAGTACTGCGACAGTCTCCATTGCTCCCTACAAGGATGGTCAAGGAACGGCGGAAAAAAACGAACAGACCGGTACCGATGGCGCTGAAGTGGTCTCAAATCCAGCAATCGGGAATAAGGAAGCTGCAGGGACGCAAGGAAAGCAAATTTCTCTCGTTTTTAATATCAGTGTTTAAACATGCTGTGAAATTGTGACAAAGAAAAAGCTATGAACCGTTTTTGTTCTTTTTGCATGATCAGTGGCATTTTGTTTGCCTTGAAGAAAACTTGTAGGTCTATATTGAAACAGACCCAGTCGGGGTCTTTATGGTAAAACAGACCCGGTGTAGGTCTGTATGTGAGCCCGTTTAACCCCACATTTCCCTGAGTAAATTCAAAGCCGCCCCCGGCTTTCAGAATGATGGACTAATCAAGGGTCTTACAGTCAGGATAAGGTACCACTGTAAACAATGCAATGACGTCACTTGAGGTTGATAATTTAATTTAAGGGGTCGGCGGGGTAGCTAGCCTAGTGGTTAAAGCGTTCGATCGTCACGCTGAAGACCCGGGTTCCATTACCCACATGGGCACAATGTGTGGAGCCCATGTCTGATGTCCCCCGCCGTCATAATGTTTGAATATTGCTAAAAGAGGCATAAAACCATACTTACTAATTAAATTTAAGTTTCTTTCCTTACCTTTTAATGTCTTATTTATTTAAAAGCTAGATTAAAATTTTATTCGGCTTACCATTGAACATTTTCAGAGCCCATTTAGTGTTTTTCATTGTAGATTTGCTGCGTCTTGGTGTCTCCGAATCTTGGAGGGTTTGTTTACGATACAAACGTGAATTGGGTTTTAATTTGGGATTGATCAGGATCAGTGGCTTTGAACTGTGTCGGCGGCCACATGTGAGCAGGGTAGATCTAGTCTACAACATTGGTGTCATTCGCAATTGTCTTGGTGCTAGATTCCTGTCATTTCCGAAAACAAGGCATTAAGTCAATACCGCTCAATAAATCAATTTCGTTTACCTCAGTAATTTTACAGAATCCATTTTCTTCACTTACTAGTATTGATAGATAGCCATTCCATTTCCAAATCACCGTAAGGACAATCCATTTTGTTTCATGTAGCAGACATCAAACACCAGCACCAACGCATTTTATTTAATATTAAGTCGGATGGAATGTAAAAAATACTAAATGAATTATATTGCTGTAAATTTTAAAGTATGAAAAATAGAAAAAAATACTCACGCATACTTTAAATATTTTGACAATGTATATATTTTCATGAGCACATAGGGACTTTTCGTAAGTTTTTTTTGTGGATATATATGTATATTTTTCACATTTTATATCCATAACAAAACATTTTATAAACCCGCCTGTATGCGGAAGAATATCCTGTTCATACAGGAGTTAGTGCGTCATTAATCAAAATGGACCCGTGAAGATCCGGGTTAGAATAGGTCTTCAGCAACCCATGTTTGCCGTAAAAGGCGACTATGCTTGTCGTAAGAGGCGACTAACGGGATTGAGTGGTCAGACTCGCTGACTTGGTTGATGCATGTCATCGTATCCCAATTGCGTGGATCGATGCTCATGATGTCAATCACTGGATTGTCTGGTCCAGACTCGAGGGTTTTTTATACAAATCGCCCTCATATAGCTGGACTATTGCTGAGCGCGGCGTTAAACAACACACAAAAGAAACAGATTTAACAAAATGTGACCTCATTGACCACCCATCACGGTGGGTGGCTTTTAATAATAACTCACTTGGATTACAATGTGAACACTTGTCCAGTTTTGAAATAATGATGTAAGTAATATCGTGCAAGAGACTGCACAAGGTTTACGAATATGAATTATGAATCATGCAAACTGCCTCTGCTTCATTTTCAGTGATGTCGGAGACTATGTATAAACTGTGATTGGTTTTATTTTTTGCTTTCTTTCTTAGGAAAAACACGAATTTGACAAAACATTTTTTAAAACATGTTCAATTTCAAAATAGAGAATTGTATAACCATCCATCAATCATATTCCATCTGTCAATTATAAAATGGAAGAAACGTAAAAATGTCGGTTACTTACACGAGAGATAGACATCCTTGTCTAATATCCTAGCGGCTTATTTAATACCGTTTTAAAAGAACAAGGTTATAGAACAGTGGTGAGGTATTGTGAAGGACTAGGCTGTACATGCATCATGAGGCTATGTTCAAGTTGTGTTTACACAAAATAACAGACTGTCCACTTTATTTAGATAATATCACGAATATAAAGTTAACAATGTGCAAATAAAAATCATTAAAGTATTTGTATTGTGCTACTTCAAACTGGGAGTTGTCGCAGTTATCAGTTTTTGTTTAAGCTTCATATGGATATACACATAATCACATTGCAGACCTGACTTCTGGTGAGGTGAGGCAGGTATTTGATAAACATTATGTTGTGGAGCTAGAGTGTGTGCACGCTTAATGTAGGAGAAAGCCCTACAGGTCTGAGACGTTTACAACTTTGGAGAAACCCACGAGCACGGGTATGGTGCTGACAAACCTAGAAACCTAATAGAGGCTAACCGGGATTCGAACCCACAACCATTCTAAGGTTTCTGGCGTGCCCAAGAGAGCAACTCGGCACAGCGAATTGCGGCGCCTTATACGACTGGGCGACCTGTGCCCCATCCTACACTTAAAAGCATGGCTCCTTTGACCTGGCTCTAAATAACTTCATTTTCCCCCTTTAATTTACTTTGATGATTGAAACAAATTAAGCAAAACGTTGGTCGCCTTTGCGATTCGAATCCTCGAAGTCCGTACCGAAGACTTGCGAATGCATTCTTCTACACTTTTTGCTCTCACAATTGTCGTGAAGAGGGCATTCGAGAAAACATCCCTTATGTTCCTTTATCAGTATCACACTGCAAACACGAAAACGTCGGTTTTTTCCGTGTATGGTCATGGTCATTATACGGAAAAACGACGTTATTTGGACGTTTTCAAACCATCGTTTTTCCGTCACCGACAAGAATTGGCCAAGAACAGGTCAGTACATAAAACATATATACTACTCAAAAGAAGTTAAGGATCACCCGATTCTTTCATATTGGTTATGTTAATCTGTCATGGCATTAGAGATTAACTATTGTAATATGGAAGAATCAGGTGATCCTTAACTTTTTGAGTAGTATATAGCCATATGTGTATGTGTGTGACATTTAAGTAACTTGGAAAACAATCGTTTTGTTTAAGTTCAATACGATTTATGTAAAATATATAAAATTCGTGTGTAACTTCAATATTAGAACTACCGCCTCTGAGTAATATGACTTAACTTGGAGATAATTAATACATGGCAACAGAAATCCTTTGAAATATAACACTACACATAATGCTCAAATGTCAGGTTCGTGTTGGCAGCAATATTTTCTTAATGATGCTTGTTGTTATTTTTTTTCAGCTCATATCAAACTGTCATGTTTGTAGGACACATTTTAAGGAAGTCTTTTGCCGACATGAAGCGGTGCAGTCAGCAATCTTTGACAAGGAGTCGGATCATAAAACATGCGACGTGATTAATATAACATGTTGAACGTGTTAATCATTTTCTTGTTTACGATAACTCGCTTAATGCTAACGAAAAACAACTATGACATCACTGCATTGTCATCTCGTTGCGTGTCATAATAGGACGTTCTGAGTGATTTCCCAATATGTCTATGTAGTAAAATGTGAATTATTACATAAAAAACGAAAAGACCATTTCAATAATTATGAGACATATCTTCTAGGTGAAGTGAAATGGAGTTTCACGTTGCTCTCCCTCTCTCTGTGTGTGAGTGAGTGAGTGAGTGAGTGAGTGAGTGAGTGAGTGAGTGAGTGAGTGAGTGAGTGAGGGAGTGAGCGAGACAATGGTTCATCTTGAAAAACACGGGGACATACGGTACATGTCCAAGTATGGAATTGTATCGGACATAATTTGCCTTTTTGAAAGCTTTACTGATGCCTTGAATGTTGTAACCTTAATCAAACAACTTTTTGAGCAAGAGCCATAAGACGCTCTGTGAAAGCGTCATTGAAAATGCATGTGCATGCTTATTACACCTCAAAGTTGTGAAATGTAGACTCCAAAAGCTTTACGTCCAAAGGAATCTGTTTCGTGGGATAATCGAGACTGGTTGTTCTCTGGCTTTAGCGTTAGGTTTTGTTTGATGTTTAACGCCGCAATATTCCAGCTATATGACGTCGGTCTGTAAATAATCGAGTCTGGACCAGACAATCCAATGATTGACATCATGAGAATCGATCCACGCAGTTGGGATACGATGACATGCATCAACCAAGTCAGCGAGCCCGACCAACCGATCACGTTAGTCGCCTCCTACGGCAAACATGGGTTGGTTAAGACCTATTCTACCCCGGATCTTCACAGGTCCTTTAACGTTAGGTATTACATTTGCTATAGCAGCATACTAGAGTTTTGAAGAAATACCGTTTCAAATAACTGTCATACCAGAATCTTAAGATGTCTGTGTCTATTGCTGGCATTGCCTTACTCATTCAGAAGGGGGATAGAGTTTTGTTTGAAGGTTTTTTTTCATCTAATCAAAGCACGAGAGTTGTGTCCATTATCGATGCCCCCTCCTGCCATATCACTAAAATAGAAACCATTTCGCTCCTCTCAAAATATTTTAAGACCATTTACTCAGTTTTATTAGAAGGTTCTGTGGCACCTGTTTTCAATGGAGCCTTGTCTTGTACTGTTTGACAACTGATCTTGAAAACGTCTGAAAGCGCACAATCTATCTATTTACCGCTTCTATCTTGTAAACAGTAAGTGGGATATCGATTAGTATTTATTGTCCTAACAACGATTTGACCCATTACTTCATTCAATGTTTTTAAGCATAAAGCACTAGAATTCCACCACAG